GAAGGAAACTCCGCTTTTCAGTTGTCTCAGGCGATTGATTTTTGACAAACAATGACCTTTCAGATGTCAAATTGCTGTCAAGAATATGAATTGGCTGCTTCGCAGCAAAAATACTTGGTTTTAGAAGCCAGTATTAATGATTAAGTTCATTACAACTTTACCTATTACGTGCCATCAGACACTGCAAAAAGGATGACTTTTTCACTTTTTTTTACAAAAGAAAATAAAACAAGCCATGAAAAGCTTAGTATTTTAAAAAATCATTCAATGTTATTTTCTTTCATTCAGGTATAACATATGCTTCCTACCATGGTACAATGCACTATAAATTCCTTTTGAAAGCATATTTCTAAAGCAATTAAAATATTTGCACACAGGTTTTTGTTTGATATTTTAAAGTCTGTTGAACTATATCGTTCACATTTTTTAATCACGTCAGGTGATCATACTTTATGAATACAGATTAAACAAATCAGTAGTGATGTTGTTAGTCTATAAGTGAGATACTTGGATAAAACCAATAAATGCCTTTAGTTTATCAATTTATCCAGGTAAGTATTCACAAAACAAATTAAACAAATCAGTGATGATGTTGTTAGTCTATGAGCGAGATACTTACCTGGATAAACCGATAAACTTAGGCATTTATCGGTTTATCCAGGTATCTCACGAAATAGACTTACTTCATGGAAAGTAGGTTGATGATTGTTCTATTTTTTCAAGATCATACTTTATCAGGGACTCATGAAATGCCCAATAGGCCCTACTGTAAACGGATTAAAATATTATGACATGACAATATTTTGTTCTCAATACCCATGAATAGTGATTTCAAATCTTTTATAGATATTTCTGCATGTTGCTATACTGTCTCTCTTTAAAATCTCAGAATATTAAGCATTAAGAATGTAGCCTAAGTAGACCCCACCAAGTTGTTTCTAGGTCCGATCAGGTGCCTTTCAGGACACTTAAAAATACTCCAACTAGGCTAAGTGGAATACAAAGTGGCTGTGATAAACCATTTTGATTTCTATTAAGTAGTTGGCGTATCGGTTGTGGCTTGGACTCCCAACCTTGAGGTCGGGGGTTCGAATCTTTCACTGTGCAAGTCGCTTGTGTCCTTGGTCAGGGCACTTTATCTACGGTTGTCTCTCTCCACCCAGGAGTACAAGTGGGTACCTGGTAGGTTCAAACACAGCCTGCGCTGAATACAGCTGCAACATTATGTAATTCCCCCATGGGGCCTGAGTGTGTGTTCCATATGTGCTTGATCCAGTGATAATAATGTAAGCGCATAGAGGTATATAAGTCGACAATTATTATAATTATTATTATTATTCAACAAAATGCACAAGGCATTTTTTATTGTCGATCATGCGATGCAATGTGCAATGTTTCACTTTATAGTATAGAGAATATTTATTACCCTCGTAACTTTGAAATGTTGAATGTAAAACAATGACAAATTTTCAACTTGGACAATCAACATGAGCGAGGTTAACTGGGTAAATAATAATTGAAAAATAAAGCTTGTATGTTGCTATCCCCTTGCAAAAAAGCTCAAACGAACTCAAAATGAAAAGCAACTCATCAACATGATGTAACTGTTATTTATATTTTAACTATTATGTTGTGTTAATTTGAGTTATTTTCCTGTCAATATTTTTTTTCTGATCTTATCAATCATAGAATAGATTGGCAACAGTGTAACCATGACGAGTAGGTTGTAGGTTTTGAGTTGACAATGAATTTCTAGCTTTCATCTTCGAACGCAGGTATGTCGTGTACTTCTCAAGACTGTTTTGAAATTGTTTGCTTATTGAAGCTGGAAGCAATCTTGCGACCCTCAGAAACATTTTGGCAACCTAAATTTGGGTTGCAACCCATAGTTTTGAGAAGCAGGGCTATAGGGTATATGCACAGATCTAGCCGCCAGGCACTTTTTCTCATACAACTGACAAAAACACTCACACACAATGGAGCTACATAAGTTCTATTATACCACTCTATAGATACACTGACTCACAAAATATTTCTCCCAAAGAAGAAATTGTTCTTTGTTATTTCAATTGAATGTATGCATCCTTTATTCTTTTTTTCAATACTGCAATTTTTTTCAAACAATTGAAAACACCATAAAAGAGAGAACAAATGATTCTTACCATCTGGATCAGATGAGTCTGTAATAATTACATCAAAGGTATTCTTATTTTTCTTCATAAATTCAAAGCCATCACCTACATAGGTGTAAACCTTTGGACTGTTATAACCACAAGACATATTTGGAAAGTATACCTTCGACACTTCAATTACTTTCTGAAAATAATCACAAATAATTATTACAGAGTTAGAGTACAAAAATTATCAATCAATCGATATTAAGATATAAGCGCTTTGAAGATAAATCCTTACCTCATCTATTTCACACTGTGTTATACTTTCAACACAATCATGCTTCAAAATTTCCCGAATAACACCACCATCACCTCCACCAATAACCAGGACCTATAGATGCAAACATTTATTGATTTTATCAATTTGATCCTTATAATAACAGGAGATTTTATGGGTAAATTACAGTATATTTGAATATTAGAGACATGCAATACTACAGCAGGTACTTGTTCGTAAATATTTGCTACATGGTTAATTGGAAAATACTGTCTGCTGAAGGCCCTTTGAAACTGGAAATTTATATGGCCTGTATTTACATTTAAATATATAAATTTTAGGGTATAATCGACCTGTACATTTTAACTTTTATAAACATTTTCTTTATGAATAATTTATATATATAGTTTATATATTTTTATTTACTTTTATTGTAATGTTATATGATGTGATGTTTTGATTTTTATGTTCAGGTGGTTGAACTAGCATAGTGTACTGTACTCCTATTTCCTCCACCTTAAAATGTTGTGAGCTGACTTTGAATAAAATATATAGTGCGTGAGATATTACAACATAGACAAAAGACGTAAAAAGTGGATGCTCATGTGTGAGACTCAAGCATTACGCAAAACATTGCATGAGATTTTGCAGGTGTATATCGTAATTGTGATCAGGTCCAACAAGCAGTATGAGAGATTCTCATACAAAATTATTGCATAAACAACAATATGACTTTTTGTGTTACCCACCTTCTTAGGATTCGGATGGGAGTTAAGAGGTAGATGTACTATCATTTCCTGATAGCTAAATTCATCTCGCTCTGTACATTGTATAACACCATCAAGTACCAACACATTACCATATGTTTTACTAGAATTATAAATAACAGAAAACAAGTTAAATCCCATACTGTAGTGCCAAAAAAATTAATTGTTAGTTTCACATGCGTGATTCGAAATTATTCAATGGTGAGGGTATTTGCTATTCCATCTAGTGATAAGCAGGCTAGTAAATGATAAAAAATATTTTTTATAAAAGTAAAGAACCTTTGTAAGCTTAGCTCAGTCGGATAATCTGGTGGTAGCCACTGCGTGTGTGCTGAACCGTGGAGATCCCTAGGTCCCCGGTTCAATTCCCATCGTTGCCTCTCCTTGTGTTCCAGCTGGAGGGCTGAAATACAAGCGTTGGTCCTGTGTGCATTTATGGCCCGTGTGCACGTTAAAGAACGCAGTACACTCTTCGAAAAAGAGTAGGGGATTGTCTCCTGGTGTACTGCCCAATAACCACCAGAAAGACCCCACTGGAAATAAGTCTTCTTCTAGACTTTCGTGGGCTACTCTTGGTGTTTACACCGAATAACTCCAATCCAAACCAATCCAATCCAAGGTATTCTACCATCTACTGTATGTTTCCACCTCCTAATCTTTCAAATCGTCTTTATTTTATTTTCCACAGAAAATTGATAAATATTTTGTATCTCAATTGGATACCAGTTGTCCAACACACTAACGGAGTCAAACAGACAGGTTTTTGAAAAATATCAAATAGTAAAATTTTTCATGAGGCTCCAAAATTTGATGTGGGTCTTAACATTAAACAATTAATTTTATTTGGAGTAAAAAAAAATAAATTATTTACAAAAAACCATTTATACATAATTCATTAAAATAAAATGTACAACAGTAAAAATAAACAGTAAAAAATCAAAATATATTGAGTAGTTTATTCAGAAATTCTGTGGATATTATTTGGACAGTGTTATGTAAATCTGAGGTGTTGATTGGTGGAGCTGGCTTGACCCAAACCTAAAATTTGAGTCTCGCTATCTTACTGCACTACCAGGCCCATAACAAGGGTATCAGAAGACCAAATCCCCCATGTACTATACAGTAATCGAGAGTTTAGACATTTGATGAGCCAAAAAATAACCTTAAAATATGTATTACAATTTGTTTTGTGTTCCGGCCCGAATCCACCAAACATGATGCTAATTTGTTGAAAATCAGCTCTTTTTGATTAATTTTGTAACATATCTTTCTTATATTAAAACCAATTTTTCTGGCTGTTTTTGCTGTTGTTCTTCTTTATTCAGCTATAATGTCACATTTTTTAATTTTTAAATCGGAATTTTTTTTACAGAAAGGCCATTTCGCGATTGTCCTGTGTAATAAATCCTATTTGTTGCTATCATTTTTGCAAAAACACTCTCATTTCTGAACATGTGGGCCGACCGTAACGACTGTTTCGTTACGTAAAAATAGAATAACCAAGATGAAGCTAAAAATCAATTTGATTGGATAAGCGGTTTTGTCAGAACGCCACTTTCTTTAGAGACACTGACTAGTTCTGAAACACATCAACTAATAATGGTAAAGACAGTTTGAGATTTCTGGTGAACTCGAGCTAGGGCAATGCAGAAGGATAAGCTGTATTTTCTCAGTCAATATTAAAGTGCTTTGTCACTTGTTAAAAGCGCTATATAAATTAATGTATAAACATATTTATGGTAAGAACTTAGTTTTTTTTATTTTTTTATTATGATCAATTTAAAACGTATAGTATCTTCTAAAATCCACAGCGGACTTTTTCCGATACAATGGACTCAACCATTATATTATTTAGTATGTCCTAGGCTTTCCAACTAATTTTAGGACTTTGTGGTTAAATCTGATTGCATGAAGTTTGTTTTAAATTCACTCGGACGTGAGGTTGCAATGTATAATACATTTTAAAGGAATATTATATTGGGGGGTTGCAAAAAGTGCAATTCTTTTTTTTGGGGGGGAGGGGAGCAAAATGGATGTAGTTGGGCGTTGATTAAAATGTTTTGAAAGTGGTCCTGTGGGCAGAGTGACCGAAAAAATAGGACAATTTAGGTTTTCAGAGGCTTATTTAATCAATTATAGATGGTCTACTTTAATATATGAAGAAAATACGTTGTATTTTGTCCCCCCCTTGACACCCAGTACACCACTGATGCTTCCTGTCCTGAAAATATCTCCACAAACAATTTTCCAGGATCCCTTTAATAATTATTATTTAAAAAAAAAAAAATTCTTTGTGAAGAATGTTTTAAGAACCAAGGTACTTATTAGTAATTACAGCCTTAGTGTAGTGAGGCCACCTCCACCTTCACCCATATGGACAAAGTGATGTCCGCTCACAGTTATTAAATTGATTCCCCACCCCTCACCCCCTGGTGTCGGTGTCCAACCATCCCAATCACTCTCTGGTAAAAGGCAATTTAAAGTATTTAAACATAAATACAAATCATGTGCATAAAGAACTGCCTCACTCACTCAATAATGACGAAGATTTATAACATAATTCCTATATATAACTAAGCGGCCACCTAAGCCTATACCCTACATTATACTGGACAGGCACACGGCAAGGCAAGCTCACTGTCAGTAGTATTAGCATACTGTACGATTTAGGTACAGCGCTCTGACAAGCTAGGGCCCAGGCCTAACCTTCCTATTATTGTCTAGGCCTACGACCAACCTACCTTTTGAAAACCAACACATCTTGATATTTTGACTTTTCATGTAATAAAACTTCTTCTACCTCAAGTGACATGCACTGACCTGGCCACAATGGTTTTATTTCACTAAACCACCCATTCCTAATATGATCCATGATCTCTTACTCTCAAAATCAAGAAGGTTCTCTTTAGAAAGTGATGTGTGATGTGTAAACACACAGCAGGACGTGCGCACATGTTCCACCAGCAATCAGCAAAATAGCGCCACCAATTGATTGTTAATTGATCCAGTCGCTTAGACAGCAGTACAGTAAAAGTTTACGACAATATGAAATGAAAAATATATAGGCCTACAGTACTGTATATATATATATCCGTAGATAGTACTTAAATTTGTTACCTGATCTTTGTAGATTGTAGGCCTATTTTTGTTATTGATGTAGCTGCGTATTTAGTGTCCCCTTGCTAACAAGCACCTCTCACTGAATATCCTATGTCGATATAGAGATATTGTTTAAGAAGGAAATAAGGTGTGCAAAGCGTTCTACTATAGTTGGACCACTTCGATTTTTCAGTATATATAAATGATATCTGTTTTGCTGGCAATTTGCAAACCTTCAACTGGAAATGTTTGCCGATGATACGATTATCATTCTTGATCAAACATTAACATTTGAAATAGTCTATTAAAATTACATCTTTCAAAATTAATCAAAATAATTAAGCTCATTTTAAACAATGAGTAGTCGATCACTTATCCCTTTAGCGGCACTGCAGTGCATTATTAACATTCAGCAAAACGATGCATATACAAATGTGATTCCAGTACCAAAATCATCAATTTATGTTTTGAGAATCAAAATTTGTCACTGAAGGAGTGGCACTGGCATTATTATATTTCTTATAATATTGGTTTTGAGATGAACAATCCAACAACTTCTGCGCAACGACTTTCTATATATGACAATAGATATATTTGTGATGAATGGATCATTCTGTAGTTTGTATGTTTGATTAAGTATCTGATCTGATCTGTGTAAATATCCTAATGCAATAAATCAAGATACAGGTTTAACAGGTAGCAATAAACCACCTGCAGATCAATCTACCGCTACATATAGGCCTATATAAGTAGTGTATACGTTCTTTTGTTATGTTTTATTTTTATCACTGATGATAACCGTGTGATACAGCAGAAACATGTTTGACTTTTCTTTAATTAAATATTGGTTCATATCTAATAAATCTGATCTGTGTAAATATCCTAATGCAATAAATCAAAATACAGGTTTAACAGGTAGCAATAAACCACCTGCAGATCAATCTACCGCTACATATAGGCCTAGTATGTAAGAGTGTAGGTTCTTTCGTTATGTTTTATTTTGATCACTGATGGTAACTGTGTGATAAAGAAGAAACATGTTTGATTTTTCTTCAATTAAATATTGGTTCATATTGCCCTCAAATTTGTGATGCTTTTGGTTTCTTGCCGATCGTTTGTTTCCATCATTCATGCTTTGCACAGCAACAGTGCTTGTAAACAGGATTGCAGAAGATAGGAAAACTTCACTAATTAAAGAATGCTGAAGCTGATGTTAATCTTCTTAATTGTAAAATCTTCAGTGTATTTCCCAAGTTTATATAAATATTTACACTGATTCAACAGATTGAAAGCGAATACACAAAATAAACGATTTGATATTTAATAATGTTTATGTTTTGAAGCCTTTATACGGACGTAATGCAGAGTGTGATGGAGGTAATGCACAGTGTGATTGAAACTATATTTAAAATTAAATTATTACTTTTTGTAATAGCCTTTTTTTTAACTTCAAACAAATTACAAAAGTCAATGCTCTGCATAGGTTCATTTAATACTATTCAATACATTTTTTAAAGTTAGGCAAAATGATAATGCTTCGTTTCATTTGGCAGATTGTCAATATTTGATACTTATAAAATTTTGCTTACTTTTCATATAAAAGTTATTAGTTTTAAATTAAAAATTAGAAGTAGAAAACATTTACATCAAATTACCAGATAGATGCTGATATGTATTTGTTAGATTAAAACCAAACAGTGTGTAAAACACCAACTACAAAATTTAAACAACTATGGAAGTATAAATGTAGTCCTAAAAGTAAATAAATAAATAAAAATACAGTAGTGGGTCCATACAAATAAAAGATTATAATACAGTACTGTTAAAGGCCTTTGTATAGACCCTCAGTAACAACCCGTAATGTGCAGCGTCACAGTGGTGAACTGTATATGGGCGCGGTCCGTTACTTCTGTATCAGCCGCAAGGAGGTACTTAGTAGGTTCACATCATTTTACTACATGGTAGAAAAGATCTAAAGCATTGGGGTGACTCTCTAATCTTCCAAAAGAGCACACGAGCCAGACGTGTGAAGAGAGTAATTCAATTTTTTAATTGAATTTTTTAAAGAAATTTCCCTGATTTTTCCACACACAGTATTTAGCGAACATGTCATTTTGTGCACTCCTCTGAGAACTAAAAAACAAGCTTTATCAAGTCTTCTTCTACATTGATTTCACTCGATCTTCTCATCTCTGGATAACTTATATAAATGGCAGTGATATTTCCCATGATCTTTCATGAGGCAGCAAATTGTGTCCAGGTCAGCAGTAATGTCATAGTCAATATGCTAAGAAAAGAAAAAAATTTTATAATTATAAAACATATACTTTGTTAGGAAGCTAATGGATTATATTAGAATATATGGTAAATAAATAAATTCATAAAATCCATAACTGAAATAAATTATCTGTTCTTAAGTTTAAAATAGATGAGTTTTTTTAAATAACATGATGTCAGAAAATCAGCCCAAAAGCTTATCTTATTTCTGTTGGTTACGCACCGCTGATTCGCAATGTTTGTCATCACTTCAAGATGTCTACCGATTCGTGAAAAAGGCGTATTGTCTAGGCCTACGACCAACCTACCTTTTGAAAACCAACACATCTTGATATTTTGACTTTTCATGTAATAAAACTTCTTCTACCTCAAGTGACATGCACTGACCTGGCCACAATGGTTTTATTTCACTAAACCACCCATTCCTAATATGATCCATGATCTCTTACTCTCAAAATCAAGAAGGTTCTCTTTAGAAAGTGATGTGTGATGTGTAAACACAGCAGGACGTGCGCACATGTTCCACCAGCAATCAGCAAAATAGCGCCACCAATTGATTGTTAATTGATCCAGTCGCTTAGACGAATTCGATCCAACTCGGCCACAAGTCAACTCGGCCACAGTCAACTCGGCCACAAGTCAACTCGGCCACAAGTTAACTCGGCCACAAGTCAACTCGGCCACAAGCCATTAACTGGTACTACATTGTACTAATTATTATTATTGCTGTATAAATTATTGTTGTCATTGTTATTATTATTGATGTTTTTATTAACGTTAGTTTTAATATTAATTATTAGTCTTACCATTAACATTATATATTGTTCAAATTTTTGCTGATATTATTATTATTACAGTACCATATAAATAATAAATACTTTTCAATTTTTTATTATTATTGTTCATATTATTATTATTATTTATTAGTCTTAGTATTAAAATTTTAATAATGGTAATTTAAAAAGTTGTTGTTATGGGCGTTTTATTAGTATTTTTCTCATATTATTATTATTATTATTATTATTAATATTATTGTTGTTGTTGTCACCTTTATTATCGATATTATTACCCAATTATTACTAAGTAGGCCTAGTATTATAAGTATCATTATTATTATTATTACTAATTGTATTACTATAAAAATAAACATTATCTTTAATTTATTATTGTTGTATTATTGCTATTATCACCTTCAATATCGTTATTATCACTAATTAGTTATTAAAATTGATATTTAAATATCATTATTACCATACTAGTATTACTACTATTTGTTAAAATAAATATTACTATTAATGTTGTTGTTATTATCACATTTATTATCGTCATAATGACTAATTAGTATTATTAATGTAAATATTACCAATTTATTGTTATTGCTGTTTAATATTATTGTTGAAGTAGAATGTTGTGAGTAAACAGAAGACGAACACATTAATAAATAACTCTTTTTAATTCATAGGCAATAGCATTCAAATCTCTTTTGGTAGTGTGGTGGTCCTGTTTTACTTAAACATACTGTGTACTTTATTTCAATCATATATTGAAGAAAAAGGATGCAAAAACTTAGATTTACATTAAATAACTTGTGGCAGAGTTGACTTGTGGCCGAGTTGATTTGTGGCTTAGTTGACTTGTGGCCGAGTTGACTTGTGGCCGAGTTAGCTGTAGCCGAACTTTTTGTGGCCGAGTTGATTTGTGGCCGAGTTGACTTGTGGCCGAGTTGACTTGTGGCCGAGTTGACCTGCACCCGCTTAGACAGCAGTACAGTAAAAGTTTACGACGACAAATATGAAATGAAAAATATATAGGCCTACAGTATATATATTTCCGTAGATAGTACTTAAATTTGTTACCTGATCTTTGTAGATAGTAGGCCTATTTTCGTTATTGATGTAGCTGCGTATTTAGGGTCCCCTTGCTAACTAGCACCTCTCACTGAATATCCTATGTCGATATAGAGATACAGTGTTTCAGAAGGAAAAAGGTGTGCAAAACGTGTCTACTATAGTTGGACCACTTCGTTTTTTCAGTATATATAAATGATATCTGTTTTGCTGGCAATTTGAAAACCTTAAACTGGAAATGTTTGCCGATGATACGATTATCATTCTGGATCAAACATTTAACATTTTAAATAGTCTATTAAAATTACATCTTTCAAAATGAATCAAAATAATTAAGCCCATTTTAAACAATGAGTAGTCGATCACTTATCCCTTAGCGGCACTGCAGTGCATTATTAACATTCAGCAAAACGATGCATATACAAATGTGATTCCAGTACCAAAATCATCAATTTATGTTTAGAGGATCAAAATTTGTCACTGAAGGAGTGGCACTGGCATTATTATATTTCTTATAATATTGGTTTTGAGATGAACGATCCAACAACCTCTGTGCAACGACTTTCTATATATGACAATAGATATATTTGTGATGAATGGATCATTCTGTAGTTTGTATGTTTGATTAAGTATCTGATCTGATCTGTGTAAATATCCTAATGCAATAAATCAAGATACAGATTTAACATAGCAATAAACCACCTGCAGATCAATCTACCGCTAATAGGCCTATATATTAAGTAGTGTAGGTTCTTTCGTTATGTTTTATTTTGGTCACTGATGATAACCGTGTGATACAGCAGAAACATGTTTGATTTTTCTTTAATTAAATATAGGTTCATATTGCCCTCACATTTGTGTTGCTTTTGGTTTCTTGCCGATCGTTTGTTTCCATCATTCATGCTTTGCACAGCAACAGTGATGCTTTTAAACAAGATTGCAGAAGACGGGGAAAACTTCACTAATTAAAAAATGCTGAAGCTGATGTTGATCTTCTTAATTGTAAAATCTTCAGTGTATTTCCCAAGTTTATATAAATATTTACACCGATTCGACAGATTGAAAGCCAATACACAAAATAAAATGAGAAACAAGTTGTATAAACGATTTGATATTTAATAATGTTTATGTTTTGAAGTTTATACGGACGTAATGCACAGTGTGATTGAAACTATATTTAAAATTAAATTATTACTTTTTGTAATAGCATTTTTTTAAAACTTCAAACAAATTTAAAAAGTCGATGCTCTGCATAGGTTCATTTAATACTATTCAATACATTTTTTAGAGTTAGGCAAAATGATAATGCTTCGTTTCAGTTGGCAGATTGTCAATATTTGATACTTATAAAATTTTGCTTACTTTTCATATAAAAGTTATTAGTTTTAAATTAAAAATTAGAAGTAGAAAACATTTACATCAAATTACCAGATAGATGCTGATATGTATTTGTTAGATTAAAACCAAACAGTGTGTAAAACACCAACTACAAAATTTAAACAACTATGGAAGTATAAATGTAGTCCTAAAAGTAAATAAATAAATAAAAATACAGTAGTGGGTCCATACAATAAAAAACATTATAATACAGTACTGTTAAAGGCCTTTGTATAGACCCTCAGTAAGAACCCGTAACGTGCAGCGTCACAGTGCTGAACTGCATATGGGCGCGGTCCGTTACTTCTGTATCAGCCGCAAGGAGGTACTTAGTAGGTTCACATCATTTTACTACATGGTACAAAAGATCTAAAGCATTGGGGTGACTCTCTAACCTTCCAAAAGAGCACACGAGCCAGACGTGTGAAGAGAGTAATTCTTTTTTTTAGTTGTATTTTTTAAAGAAATTTCCCTGATTTTTCCACACACAGTATTTAGCGAACATTTCATTTTGTGCACTCCTCTGAGAACTAAAAAACAAGCTTTATCAAGTCGTCTTCTACATTGATTTCACTCGATCTTCTCATCTCTAGATAACTTATATAAATGGCAGTGGTATTTCCCATGATCTTTCATGAGGCAGCAAATTGTGTCCAGGTCAGCAGTAATGTCATAGTCAATATGCTAAGAAAAGAAATAATTTTATGGATTTTATAGAACGTATACTTTGTTAGGCAGCTAATGGATTCTATTAGAATATACAGTAAATAAATAAATTCATAAAATCCATAACTGAAATAAATTATCTGTTCTTAAGTTTAAAATAGATGAGTGCAATTAGGTACCACAATTTACCAATCTATTATAACAATATACAATGCACTTATACATCCTTGATTAACTTATGCTATTACATCATGGGGTACCACGTCTGCTAGTAATCTGAATCGTTTGCAAATACTTAAAAAAAGGCATTAAGAAATATCTGTCATGTTGATCGCTTGTATCCTTCGCATCCTTTGTTTATTGTTACTCAAACATTAAATATTTTTGATCATTATTTTAAAAATTGTGCCATATTTATGTATCAATACTATAAGAATCAAATGCCTATATCATTTAACAACTTATTTAAGACTATAGCACTAGGAATTGAACTAACATATGTCCTCAAATAAAACACACAAGCATAGGGCAACAATTTATATCTTATCAAGGGAAAAAAATTTGAAATAATTAATAATAATAATTAAACAGTATCTTATAGAGAAATATAAAAATAAATGTTAACTATGATAGGTCCATATATTTTTTTGTTATTTTTTTGATGTTGTTATACTTATACTATTATTAATATTTGTATTTTGTGTATATATGTATTTATTATTTTTTTTTTTGCAGGGTTACATATCTAAAGCATTTTTCTTGCTTATTTTGTAACCTTTTCCTTTATTTGCTACCATTGTATTTCTTTTGCTGATAATTGTACTGTATTGTTTATATTGATATTGGAATAAAGTTAATTGAATTGATTGAATTGATATAATATATAATAAAAGTAAAAGTAAATCCTTGCTGAGCCATGAGACTCATATGGAATGGAGATGGTTACATTGCATACTCTTTGTTTCTTGCTTTATTCAAAATGTTTTGGTTTTGGAAGCTGATTTCAATATTAGAAAACATAGCCTACATGAAATCATATTATAGTAACTTGATGCCTATCAAATAAAGTAAAAAAATTCGCCATAATTCATCAAATATCCGTGGCTTCCAGGGGGTTTCCACCGGGGGCCCTAGGCGGCCCCTGGCCCCAGCCAAGTGAGATCCCCCACCGTCGGGGCCTTTAGCCCCTCCTTCGGGCAGGTCCTGGCGCCACCACTGGGTGGGATGCTGGTCCACCGCTATACTCCCAGCAATTCGCGGGTACCCATAGATACAGCAGGGTAGACTGAAGCAATGTTGATAAAGTGCCTTGCTTAAAGACACAAGCGAAATGCACAGTGAAGGACTGAAACCTCGACATCAAGGATAATAAAATAAATTAATCATCATAAACATTAAAGAAAAAAATAGTGAATATAATACAGAAAAAACGCTCTAGGCTAGGTCCATTTATAGTACGAGGACAATAACATTAATGGATTTAAAATCGGAGGGGAGCGGTCAGCACTAAACTTATTGCTGTATTATTATAATTTACATAAATGTAAATTTGATGTATTTTAAGTAAATTTTTCAAATTACTTATTGGAGGAAATTATTAAAAAAAAATTCATTACCTCTTCCCATATTTCATCAAGTAGAACAACTTTATAGAGCTGACCATTGTAGTTGTCATGGTAACATAAACGCACCCTGTCACCTAAATCTGTGTTAACCACAAATAACAAATCCAGCTCGTTTTCGTATTCAACGCTTTTCAAAGACTAGAAAAAAAAACATTTAATATTGAAATTTGTGTAAATTACTCTGAATTTTTCCAAATTAAAATTGTATAAAATATGATTTGACTGATTGACTGAAAGATTTAATGGTCATCCCCCAAAAGCAACATTATTCATGCCAATATATAAGTCCACAAAATGGAAGACTGGATAAATTGGGAAACCAATGTTGATTAAAGAAGAATATAGGTTGGGGTGAAACAAATCATTGCTGAATATATATATAAAATTCATTTACCTCATGTACAGGAGAAACTATTGATGAATCAAAGACCCTGTGCTTAATAACCCGTCCAGAGGATGTCATTAACTGTTTATTAGACCTTCCTTTTTTATCAGTTGTTTTTATTTTGAATACTTCTACTACTTCTGTATAATTAGAAGACTGGTGCAGTTTCAGCATTCTGAAACAGGAAGGCACAATCTGTTTAGAGTTTAAAATATGTTTATGAGCCATCATACAGTAGTACTCTCAGTGGCATTACTTTGACTCATTGGATCAAAAAAGAAATGCAATTTTTTAATTATTTTTTCAAAATATTTTATAAAGCATTCCAGAACAGCTTAAAATGGCCCACAATTTCTCAGTTTTCCTAAAGGAAAGGAGGCTTTGTCTGCTGGACATGGCTGCTCTTCACTAAAAATTATCAGACCCTCAACTGGACAGCTTTAAACCCGACCCCCAAATGTATATCCTAAACCACCACTGAGTAGAAGGTGCACTCAAATGAATACAACAATGTGGATCTGAAGACACGCCAAGACAGAATACCTACAATCACAAATACAATAGTTACGATCATGTGATATACAATAACAACACATGTGTGTGATATTACAGTATGAGCTATACAATAATTGCAGCATGACCATCGCCATTTTGGAACAAAGCAGTACACATTCATCAACTTAGAATAAGATATTGGACCTCCTTGTTACTTTGTAGATAAGTTGTTAATACCTACCTCATCATCTGTGGTCCTGTGTGTACTATTCGTCCAGATTCATCGCAGTGGAACCACACCTTTTCTCCGTCATACGAAGGGCTACACTCCATTGTCAACTCTCCATTTTTCGCCTTTAAATGGAACAAAAATATAGAATTGCATTACAAAATACTGTACTAGTAAAAATAATTAAAATAATTAAATTTAATTCTTTTCAAAAAATTATTTAAATATTCATGTAGATCATGACACAGCATCTTTAGACTGGTGGCACTCACAAACTATGATTGAAAATTTGTAATCAGAATACTTAGTACTGGGTAGATCTTGTCATGTCCATGTACCTCTAGCAACACCAACCCTAACATCAACATACCATTTCTTTGTTTTGAAGACTAAAAGCAAAAATGTTGCCACCAGATGGCTCGTAGTTAATCAAATAATGCCACGGGAATCCACCAATCACAATAGAGTGTTCGACACAGTTGGCCACTTCTAAAAGGACATCAGGACATTCTAAAATGAAACAAAATCAAGATTCATTCTATTATTAGTTGATCAGATATAAAAAGATACAGACAATTATGGCTTCCCCTATATTTTTTTTCACAATGAATAGGACTGCTGGCCCCTTAATTATTCACAAGCAATGTCTGCTTCCCCTTAAAATTATTCAAAATGAATAAGACCGATTCTTCTTAATTATTCACAATAAATAAGTGCTATTTCCCCCTTAAAATTATTAAAAATGAATAAGACTGCTTCCCATTAATTATTCACAATAAATCAGTGCTATTTCCCCCTTAAAATTATTGAAAATGAATAAGACTGCTTCCCATTAATTATTCACAATAAATCAGTGCTGCTCACTTCTTACACATACAGGATGTGGAAAACTTTGTAAATCACGCTCAGTACATGGATCTGTATTTTTTGGCACGTCTACATACACTGGAATGTACATTGTTTGTGCGTAATAAAACATTATACCAATTTGTGAGGTATTTCAACTGGTCCATTCCACACTAAGTGAAAATCAGCCTGATTGACAATCAATGAGCTTCATCAAGAGTAATTTATTACAGGTTTTGAAAAGATGGAATAGGTGTGAACCAAGGAAAATAGTAGTCATATAGTAGTGATGACTACTCATTCAAAAGTTTCCTTTAAAGTTGACTCAGGGATTTTTTTAATGCTTTATTTGGTCGATGTGATCACACGAGGGAGCTGTTTATCATCCATAATCAATGATTAAAGTACTGTACCCATGATTGACAAGTATTTTCAATCGGTGTCTTCGGTTAAAACAAAGAGTATAGAATAGCAAGAGGTCCGACTCTTGTGGTTTCGTTAAAACGTAATCTTATTTTAAAAGGTACTGCCACGAAGGGGCGTGTCCTTACAATACAAGTTTCGAGCAAACTCTATCCAAATTCTAATAGGCCCCGACCCCCCCCCCCACTCCCAATCTTGTGGCAGTACTTTTTTTTAACGTTCCTTGCATGCCTACAAAATCAGGGCAGTCAGACCTTTTGCAATTCTATACTCTTGGTTAAAATTAGTACTGCTTCCCTTAGTCATTTAACAAGTATTTATTACCTGTCAGATGAATATTGCATGGGATTCCAAGTGGATGCTCTCCAACAACACCTTCCTCATTTCCTTCACATTTCTCACCCAATTTCATATTTTTTGTAATAAACTGAAAATATATCATCATTTTAATCACTGAAAATTACTATATTGTGTAATAAATAAAAGTTAATATCACAGAATGCAAACACTTAAAATCACCTTTCAAACTACAAAAACATAATGATTTGATATAAATCAAGATTTCATCAAGTGGATTTATAACACATTCACTTTCATTCCATACAAGAAAAAATGACTAAAAAAGTTAGAAATTAAAAAATTACCCTTTCCAATATTCTTTGGAAACTATAAAGTCGTATGCGCCCTCTACGGTGAAAAGTGATCAGCATTCCACTGGTCATAGTGGCATCTAGAACATCGTTTCCAAAGATCTAGCAAAAATCAGGTTTATATAACATTCAAATGACTACTTGACTTTTACAGATTTGTTTTAGGATTGTTCATGGATTAGTTTTTCTTTTTGATAAGCTTTAAGCTCTTTGAGACAATGTTTATTTTGACAGGTGCTATACAAGTCAATTTATATTCCCATTTCCATAAACATTTGTATTGGACTTGACAACACAACATATTCAAGTGGTAACAAAATGAAAAGCAACAAACAGAATGATTTTTTTATGCACCTGTACCAAGTGTTTACTTTGCTTACCAAGTACAGGTATATATGGAACAATAGATTACATTTTTTTATTGGACAAAGTTGGAGTATGAAATTCGGCCCTTAATTAAATCAGGTCTCTTTATGAGACTCTGAAAGCAAAGTTTAGTATAGTTAGCTTAGTTTTTTTATAGGAAGTTATGCACTCCATTGAGTTGCGAAGGCAAGCAAAACAACTAAAGCTACTGATGTCAAAATTTTGTTGTGTTCTTTATTAATTCTAGATAACAATGCATGTATTTGTTCAATGTGACAAAATCGTTGGTACCTATATACCTCTTTCCTTATTTCAATCATGCCAAGTATTTGAAGAGGATAAACCTGGAAAACTGCTAAAGCCAGCAATAATGGATGAACAGCCTAAGGATAAAAATATCAATTATAAATATAAACATTTATTAATAAAACTGTATAACAATATAGTATTCTCACCATTAACCATAAAAAACAAAAACAAATATAAAAGAAAAGAGACTTGGTATTTAAATAAGATAGTTGCCAAAGAAAGAAATAAGGATGAAGCTAATACTTGGCAATTTCTAATTAAAGTGATGAATGCAGTAATAATCAATTATGTTGATACTATCTAATTATTTAACATCTATTAGTATATCAATAATCAAAGTGATTAAAATTTCCTGTACTGACACTTTGGAATTGTGTTGACTTGACAACCACGGTATCCATTACCTCGGCCCATGCCAAATATCTATTAAATAAAATACAGATATTTACAACAAATAACCCACAATCACAATTTAATAAGAAATAAGTGTTGTCATATTATTTCATACACTAGGGCCACAAACACAATTATGCTTCAAATACCTTCCATTTCTTTTAAGTCAGGTAACAAAAAAGTTGTTAGTATGTCAACATTATCTACGATGGGCAAGGGGCTGAATCAATGAATATCTAAGGCAAGGAAAGCATAAAAAGTACAGTTGTGGAGCAACAGATTGACAATCACCTTGTGCACTAAAGAAACATTATCACATGGTATGGGATAGAAGAATTAAATGAGGCTTAAATAATCAAGTCACAATTGACATAAATTATTTATTTATTTATTTATTTTAACCATTCTGCAAACAGAATATTCGGTGGTCATTGACATGAATTGATTACCTTGACACTTAAGTAAACAAGACAGTAGAACTTATTGTTAATAGTGATATTTAGGATATTAGTGTAGAGAAATAAATTAAAAAAAATCTTACTTTCTTATTCAATAAGGATTTTACGGTATATGAACTGTTTATTATTTTTTAATTGCAGTATCACAATTCATCAGTTTTTATTTTGACTTGATACATATATTGATTTTGACTGTACAAAATACAGATACAACGGACACAAGGCGCTAGTGATGTAGTTATCATTACCCCCAATCATTATATCCATAATCACACCAGCAAAGGGTGCAACCTCCTCCGCTCTTTGGGGAGTATTCCTAGTCCTCATGTTGGTAATTTAATGTCGATACAAACCAATACATTCAATGCCACATCATCCTACTAACTACCCATTTATACTGCTGGGTGTGGAAACAGACAAACATAAATAATTTGATTTGCCCAAGACACAAGGAAAATTTACAGCCTCAAGGTCTCAATGTTGAGAGACCAAAAAGCAACCACTGCGCCACCAGCTCCCAATAATCGAATTCCCTGATTGGGTAGACCTATTTTTATATATTACTATAACATTTTGTGAAAGCAACTGAAATGCTAATTGAATTGAAATGCTAAATGCAATTGAAATGAAATGTGGATTACCTGAATTTATACTTTTGAGATAGGAAAACTGATTGTAAAATTTCACCAGTCTCTAAATGAACTCTTTGTAGTAAATTGTTTGATGACAGAGTTAGAAGATGTGGCTGGTGTCCTCTGAACTTAATGATACTAGGTTCAAGATTATCCTGAAATAAATCAAATTCAATCAAACTTATTTTTAATGATTATTTACCTATCTTAACTAAAAAAACATTGTTTACTCTGTGTTTATCAGTTACTTATTAGCTTGCAATTGGAAATTAAAATGAGAAAAACAAAGTTTTCCATGGATGCATAATCTCAAAAGAATTATTCTTTTGTATAGTTACTTAAAGTTGCTGATAATCAAACTCAAACGCCTGTAAATCAGTATAAAATACCTTATCTGTACTTCATTATTACTTCATTATTTACTTCAAGTATTTTAAGTATTACAGTATAATTTACTTATGCTTTTAAATAAGCAAATATAAATATTATAATCCCCTTTGTTATTTGTTAACTCTATTTACCTAACTTGGTCACATTATAAACAATAACCAACCGATGAGTGTGACATTAAACGTCAATACCGTTTGATATATAAGAGCTAACTCCCTCAGTAGGAAATTTGGTAAATGCTCTATGACGAATAAATGTTATTTGTTTAAATGTTACTGTGTTAGTATGTATTGTTCTACTCTTTGGTGTAGATATAACAAAGGTACTATAAGATCGTTAAAAGTCTGCTCTAATAATGCCCTACATTTATTACTGCGACAACCGAGGCACTATAGTGCAAGTTTTATGTTTGTATCCAATGGTGTACCGTCCTTTGACGAGTATCTTAGAAACTCTATACATAGTTTCAGGAGCCGTGTGAAATTCAGCTCTAATTCAATCATTTTGGCCATTAAGCATTATGCTCTTTCCAATTCTAAAATGTATAATCAGTGGAATATTGTCGTACATTAAGATGATTTCCTGATCTTGATGTTTTTCTTGATTCAGTCTCTTTTTCACTTTTGTCTTATATTTATATGTATTTGTATCGGTTTAACTGTTGTTCTTTTGTATGAACATGAAATTCCGAAATAAAGATGAATGAAATAGAACCGTAACAGTTTTCTATAAAGAGCATGAAGATTCTTTGCTCCATAAACACAAAGGTAAATTAATTGAGTACTATACTAGGTTTATGCTACATCTAGATGCATTATTATCTTTTTGTCTGACTTTAGGTACTTTACCAGGGTTACACTGCATAGTAATGCATCTTGAGTCTTCTTCCCACGACTGGCTGGCTTCTTATACAGCAGTTTTGGTAAACCTTTTAATCCAAAACTGAAAAAAAAAAAAAAAATCAGGAAATTATGCACACGGAGGAGGTTGACGATGGGGAAGATAACAATACCGATGTTTGTGGTAAATCTTATTAAAAAAATTTCTTTCATTAACTTCATGCTTTGCTTTTTACTATATAGTATATGAATCAGTATTTGGTTTTTAGCTATACACATAGACAATTGAATTATGCAGTGACTGGTTGATAAATTTTTAGTACATACCAAGTATAACATGTTCTGTAATTATCCAAAAATATTTTTTTTCTGTAAAAAAAAGAAAATATAATATAAGCCTATATAAAAGACTATATAGAACATGAAATGCAACAGTGGCATAT